ACTTCATATACACCAGGCAAGCAGCGGGGTGAAACAGAGTGGCAAAAGGCTCTCCTATTGATTGCTGTATCTCATTCTGGTACAGTCCATGATTAGAATCAATGACCAGTCCTTTCACATGACATCTGTGTTTACCCATTAGAGACATTACACATATTTTTTTTTTTTTTTTTTTTTTTTTAGAAAAGAACAGTAGGCTAGGCTGGCAATAATGAGATATTTCTCTTTCAACACCATGAATATCTGAATAACAATAAACCTTGATGAAGAGCACCTATACTTGCCAGCAATCTGCCCAATACAGAGGTTGAAAAATAGAGATAAGAATAGTGTGCAATCCTATGAGGTTATGCTAATTAAGTTGGGGTGGGTGATAGAGCACAGACAATTGCAATTAGATGTAAAATCTTACTATTCTCATTTCCTGATGGGATTCATCATTATCTGTAACCCACCACACCGGCAGCTGGTAATTCATATGTGCACACCTGCATTCAAAGTATGCTGCTTTCCATTTGGATAGAGAGGTCTTAATAGAGGACAGAGATTAGTTTCACAAATACTAGTATGCTCAAGATTACAATACCATTTTCAGGCTTCTTATCATATCAAGGTCCAAAACTCAGTTATCATTCTTGTTTATAGTTGAATCCTCAATAATTGCAATACTACTTTTTGTAGATTTTAGTCAGAATTCAACCCAGAAAATGCAAGTGGGGTGTGAAGCTAAGAAATAGGTACTTGCTACCTCTGAGAGAAAAAATATATATCATTTGTTAATTTTCACATTTATTAGCCTTTCAAATGTTACTGTGGACTAAATGTCAAGACCTCTTCAGCTTAGGCCTTTAATTCTATCTGTTTTAGGATGATTGTTCCATTTAGTAAGTCTGTGTTTAACAAAATGTAGTTTGGTTAGTGTGACATGAGTTTAAAGGGAAGATAAAGTGTGTACGGGAACACAGATTAGCACGGACAAAGCCTTGAACAGCTACAAGCTGTACATGTTTTCCATCCTCTTCATTTTTGCTCCATAAGATAAGGTGAGGTATGCAATGGGCGACTCCTGTGTTATAGTTAATTTTAACCCCCATATCATTAAGCAGAGAGAGGCCTTTTCAAGTTATAAAAAGCTTGCCATTATTGTTATCAACTGGAAAGAATGAAGTCATTGTTCTCATAATCATTAAAAAAAAAAAGCTGGCATGTAACAGAAAGCTCAGGCTGGAAAAAAAAAATCTCATGCACCCAATGAGATGCTTTTTGATGTGAGTAAGATCACATGAAATGCTGAAATTTTTCTCCACGAAAGAAAATCAAAGAAAGATTTAAAACCGTGTCTCAGAAACTTGCTCTGTTGCTTGCTTGGCAATACTCATGCTTGATTTGTGATCTCTACAAAGCAAAAAAATTAGGACCAACATCAATCTAATTATTATCACATTCAAATACTTAAAATTATCAACTCACCCCTGGATGGACTGTATCAATAATGTTTTGAGGTGTTTGGGGATCAGGGACAGGCATATAAATTAAGGACTTATTGAAAGAAAACAACTTGGTATGAGTAAGTAAAATATGCCTACCATAGGAACAGGGTGGAAGATAATGAGAGGGGGAGAAAAACCTCCACAGCAGCTGATATTCCTTTGGCAGTAAATAAGTTGTTCGCCTTGCTCTGCCCAGCCTGCCTTACACTCTTCCTGCCTCCTTCAATAGAAGCTTGGGTTAGATATTACCTGGGGGATCTTTGGGTTCTGCATTTTTCTGTCTTTGATGTGGTTGCCAAGATGGAATAACTTAGAATTTCTTTTATATTTCAAAGAGAATATCCCACATAGGTTTAATTATCAACCTCAAGCTCACGTGACTGAAACTCACCAGATGAACGCTACAGTACTGAAATCAAGCTTTGTTTATGTGTTGAAGTGTCATATACAAACCCTGGATCAAAAGTCACCAGATTAGCTATTTTTGTTTGTTTGTTTTCTCTCTCTAAATCTAGTAAGGACAACAACAGAAATAAAATAAAATAAAAAGAAACAAAACCCTCCAGAGGAGTTGAAACCCAATGGTATCGAAACTACAGTCCACACGCCCACCACAGGGTGTCATTTACGCCCCCAGAAATCTTCCACATCATGGCTTAGCTTTAAAGACTTTCCTTCTTTGTCAAGCATTGCGATGCTCTCCAATTGTGACCTTTGGTTCTGGTTTCCAAGACCCCCAGTTAAATGTGGCACTAAAAAGTTTTAAATTTTATTCCTTTTTTTTTTTTTTTTTTTTTTGTGTCAGATGCTATAATGTAAAACTTCTTGTTTGTTCTTTATTTTCATTGGGGGGGGGCACTGTAGTGGTGGTAGAGAGGTGGAGGTCGACCTTAGCCCGTGAATATTACTGAGCCATATGCCCACCCTTTCCTGATTTTTCTTAACTAACATGAATTTTCGTTTCTTTTATGCTGTGGTTCTTCCTTCGGTGATGAGACAGGTTTGTCTCTAAGGCATAAAACTGTCCAGAGACTGGTTTTAAGTGACATGACCTAACAGAGCTCTTAGCCATGTACATGCTTGCGCTTTTACCAGGAAATGCTGATCATCACCTGTACAAATGGCCAAAGAAAATTCCTGAAGACCTAGAAAGTCTCCATCAAATATGTTGTCATATTTGAGAGAGATTTTGGTGGTTCCTTCCACACACACACACACACACACACACACACAGAGAGAGAGAGAGAGAGAGAGAGAGAGAGAGTTTATAATCATTGAACTGATTTCTGAAGTGAAGTGATGTGTTCTACCATCTAGTTAGTGATTTGAGAGACTGGTCACCATTACCAGGAATTGGCTTGGGAAAGCTGATATCAGGTGAATAACAGTCTGGACACTAAATAACCAGTGTCCCCAGCTTGCAGCAAATAAATCATATTCATGCTTACTAGGAAGCCGACACGGAGAACTTTTCTAAAATTGGATTTCATTTCACTTCTAACTTAATTACTTGAAAATTACTAATTGTTCCCAACAAACAATTAAAATAAATTACTTTACCTCAGCAATGGGTTTTGCTTAAATAGACTGCCCACTGATGGAAAACAATTAGACATTTATACACAGATGCCACACCTATACAGTTTGACTTTAAAAGAACTGTAAGACAATTCAAGGTCATTATTTCCCTTCTTTTTCTTTCCTGTTCCACCATGCCTACCAGAGACAGCAGCAGATTCAATTAGCATCTGGGGTTGCTCAGTTTCAATTCACTTTAGTGCCATTTCATTTAATTGATTGAAAACAGTATTTGTAGTAGGAAGAGTCAATTCTGTTCTCACTTTCTGCCTTTTCTTTCATCTTGAAACTCTCAATTCTCAACTGTGTAATTCATTACATTTGCTGACAAATGTATTTCTTTCCTATATTGCCAGTCAGGTAGAAACCTCCACATGAGACACAGATTCTTGCTACCTAAGAATTTATTTTATCAGTATAAGTACTACATGTGGATTTGCTAAATTTAACAAATATTCATTGGTTAATCTCTACAGCTGCTTTCAAGAATGGCTTACTGAAAGAGCTGCCATTATGGAAACAAGGAAGTCAGGACTCTGGGTCTTGAGGTTATAACATCAGCAGCATTCCAATAAGGAGCAATCTCATTCAGGTGTTCAGTGCACACTAGAACACAACACATTTCTTTTCAAGGTTAAGATAGACTTCTAAACCATCTTTGACTAATCTAAATCCTAAGTTATGTGAAGATGACCCCGCTCATCTGATAAGAAATGAAGTTAGAGCTAAAAATGCAACAGGGCCCAGGAGTCATTGTATCATCACTGTACGACTTATGTGCAATCTTTCATTTCCTCTACAAACTACACAGTAGGTGAGATTTCAGTTCAAGACACCAGGTGGGAAGAAAAGTCCACATCTCTCTTTTGTTTGTCAACTAAAAGTTGACTCAAACCTTTGAGCTGGCAGGAAACATGGCATAAGTTATTATTATTTTTTGTTGAGAACATTCCCATTGTGCAGTGGCTCTAGTATGTTTCTAGGCCCAGAAATTCTGAAAGAGTCTCAGAGATTTGTACAAATACAATCTACCACTAACCATTTCTATGCTACCTTCAGGTATGGGGACTCTTGTTGCTATACTTGGGTCTGGAAGTCTCCAAGATAAATAACCCAAGGAGGTTATTTATAACCCAAGCCTCCTTGGGCTATTTATCTATTGAGGGAACATCTCCATAGGGATCTTATACCAACACTTCAAACTACACATCGATACACACCTACAACCTTCTCTGTCTTATTTGTTGGGAAATCACTGTCTTGAGGCCTCCAAAGAACAAATTCTTCCTTCCTCTTTCTCAGAAAGCCTACATAATCTGAATTCACTTTAGACTCTTGCTACAGTTTGGATCTGGCATGGTCCCAAAGTCCATTTGTTGAAATCTTGTTCCATAGAGTAGATTATTGGGATGTGGTTGAATCTTTAAGAGGTGGAGGTGAGGGGGAGGGAGATAACTCACTAGTGTTGTGCCCTTGGAGGGATTTTGGGTCCCTGGCTTTTGTCTTTCTCTTTCCTTCCCTGCTGCCAAGAGCTGAAGTTTATGATATATTTCCTCAGTACAGGCCTCAAACAATGAGGTCAATAAACCATGCACCTAAAACCCCAAAACTCCAAGCTGATTAAATTTTTCTTCTTATAGTTTGATTACCCAGATATTTTTAGTAGTAACAGAAAACTGATTAACACATACACCTAAAATGACAGGAAGCAGTCGCTCCTTACTTCTACCAGGAAGCAAAAGCAGTAGGAAATACTGCAAGTTTCTCCAAGGCAATGTTTACATACAAGTATTTCAGGTAAGGAGGATTGGTGTTGGGTTGAGGAGCAGGGGTAGAAAAAAGGGAAATAATACAGACAAATTAGTATTTAAACAAAGTACTTCATTGCTATTAAATGCAGTTTGTTTTACTCTAAAAGAAAATCAGTGTGTGCCTGCCCCTAGGCCTTGCAGGTGTGGCTATTGTGTCACATGGGGGTCATTCAGTGGCAGAGAGGAGAGAGGCCATGTCTATGCTCAATGTTCTGACCTGTTCGTATGTTTCATATGAAAAGGTAAGCCTGAGATGCCCACCACTCCAGTGAAGTGAAGGCCTGGCCTGGCTCCCAGGCTGGGAAGTAAGCAGGAGACTAGAAGAACCCAGCCTGGGACCTCAGACCCCAAGCGGAAGTGAGCCTGAGACATCCGAGTCTCCCATGGCGCCACACAGGTGAGGAGTGAGCCTAAGATGACTAATGCAATAGAGACCAGACAGGGAGCTAACCTGAAAGGACCACCAGTCCCGGCACTGCACAGGCTTGTGGGGCAGACCATAGCTGAGACGACCCCTGCCCCAGAACCTCAATGCATGGGCTGGCCACAGAACTCCTGAGCTGACCCTAGACACTAAGAGACACTCGACACCACCGCTAAGAGGATCAAGAAGGTAGTGGAGAAATGGAAGAGAAACACAGTAGGATGGTGGACACAATGAAAAGAGGCAGACTTCAGGGTGGTGAGGAACAGCCCGATGTGAGTAGCCAGTGATGCCACCTGGGACCATGGTGGGTCCTAGCCTGTGCTGACACCAGGGCCCACACCTGGGTCTATGGTCCTGCAGCCGCGGAGGGCCTGTTACCACCAGAGGCCAGGCGGTTATCCCTGGTCTGGGCTGTTGCCAGAGGACATGTTGATGTCTGAAGGCTGCACAGGACTGGCCCCACCCCTGGATGGGCGTGGGGAAGAGCTGGCCCTAGGAGCGTGAGAGCAGGAGATCTTTTTCCACCCCCAGGCAGCTATAGTACTTGGGAGAGCTGGCTCGGCACATTGTGGGAGTTGCGGGTGAGCCAGCCCTGAGGGTATAAGCATTGGAGAACGAGGCCTTCTACTCTTTTCTCATGTGGTGACATGGGCAAGGGAGAGATACCCTCCATCTCCCTCACCTCTCACCACCTGCAGCAGGGGGGAGACTTGGTCCTGGGGTTATGAGAACAGGAGAGCTGCCTCTGCCCACACCCAGCTGCAGCACTCTCGAGAGTGGGCTTTGCACCTCGCCTGAGCAGCACAATAGAGCCAGCCCTGATGGTGTGGGCATGGATGAGGCAGCCCCAAGGCCGGGAGAGCAAGAGAGCTGACTCAGCCCCTTGCTGGCTGCCACACTGGATGAACCAGCCTGGGCAGGGCAGGAGAGCTAGCTCAGTGGTGTGGGTGCAGAAGAGCGAGAGATGACCAGCTCAGATACCTCTCAGTCCCGGATTCACGGCTTTGAATTGCCCATACCAACATCTACTCCATTAAAGAACTTCTGGAGTACACATGAGGGGCTGGTCCTGCAGATCCAAAACTACAGGATTTCCATGACTCAGGGCAACAACAGGCTCTCTGAGAGGAGTTCCGGTGAGGTTCGAGTATTGATAGAGTAGCAAAAGCCAGAGGCCTTATACTAGACCTACAATGAGTCATTGCAGTGAACATCTGTAAGCAAAGAAGGGCGGGGGGAAAAAAGGGTCTACTGTGGATACACTGTGACACAGTACAGCTTCCACACTGAGATTTTCTCTCTCTGCATTGGTGGGGAGGTTGCAAGGCTGGAGGGTAGGTACTAAGGGAGAGGGAGATGAGTGGGATTGGGGTGCATGATGTGAAATTCAATTGAATGCTTAAAAAATGTGTGTGTGTTTGTGTATGTGTGTGTTGTGGGGAGGGAGTGTATGCCTCAGAGTACCTGAAGTAATTAATTTGGCAGTTTGCACAAATTAATCCTCTTCTTCTATCCTATGGATCCTTAAGATCAAACCCTGGTCTTCAGGCTCAACAGAAAGACCCTTTATCTGCTGAGCCATCTCAATGGTCCTACTCTTAAATATCTTGATTGTTTGCCATCTTCTTTGAACCATCGCCTACTGAGATTATATTTTTTATTCTGAACTCCCCCTATAAAAACAGGTTAGTGAGACAGAGAAAGGCAGAAGATACCTGGCAAAACTCATTGGCAGGAAATTTGTGCCCAAGATAAGGAGTGCGTTGTGTTTTGTGCAGAGTGGTATTTCTGCATCTTTATAGAAACCCCCTGTCATGGACAGTGCTTAGACAATTTGCCAGATATAAATCTGATGTCACTCAAGACAGCAGAGTGTTCTGCTAAGTTCAATGAGTTGAAAAACAAAACACAGCTGATTCTTCAGCCCCCATCTGACCAGAACAGCAGATTCTCAATTCAAGTAGCAAATGGCTCTGATAGAATCTTTGAACTACCCCTTGAAACTTCACCATCCAGGCCTCCATCTTCTGTACTGCTCTCAACTTTCTTCTTCTCCTCCTCATCCTGCTCCTTCTTCTTTCTTATTCTTTTCTTCTTCTTCCTCTCTCCTTCTACTTTTGAGACAGGGTCTCTCTGTGTAGCCCTGGCTGTTGTGGAACTGTAGCCAAGGCTGACTTCAAACTCAAAGATCCACCTGCTCTGCCTCTGAGTGTTTAGATTAAAGGGATGTATCACCACTGCCCATCTTTCAACATTCATATATCTCAAGCTCCTAAAGAACATCCCACTGAGCTCTTCACACTCACTGGGTTTTCTAGCCCAAAGTTCCAAAGTCTTTCTACAATCCTTTCTACAATCCATTGTCATATTTGCTACAGCAATACCCCACTCACTATCGTGGCACCAAGTGTCTTAGTTAGGGTTTCTTCTGCTGTGATGAAACACCATGGCCAAAATTCAAGTTGGGAGGAAAGGGTTTGTTTGGCTTATAATTTCACATTGTAGCTCATTATTGAAGGAAGCCAGAACAGGAACTCAAACAGAGCAGGAACCTGGAGGCAGGAGCTGATGCAAAGACCATGGAGGAGTCCTGCTTACTGGCTTATTTCTAACGGCTTGCTCAGCCTGATTTCCTATGGAACCCTGGACCACTAGCACAGGGACGGCATTGCCCACAATGGGAAGAAACCTCTTCTATCAATTACTAATTTAAAAAAATGCCTTACAGGCTTGCCTGAAGCCCGATTTTATTGAGGTATTTTTCTCAACTGAGGTTCTCTCCTAAGGAGATTAGAACGTCTCCAAAAGGCCTAACATCACCCAGATCCTAGACTCCTATCCTGATGTTCTGCCATCCTGGGTATCTGCTCTTATTTTTAGGTCACACAAGTTGGCTGTTGCATCTTCAGTAGTCACCTCCATGGTCCAGGCAAGGAGAAAACAGAAAGAGGGATGAAGCATATGCCAACAGTGTTGAAGTATGCTAATGTTTCATTGACCCAAAACCAGCACATGCTAGGATATGGACCGTTTGCTTGGACATGATGTCCTGTCCAATAAAAGCGGAATTCTTTTAGCAGGAAGAAAGATTGGGTACTGGGGGCAATTTGGGAGTGTTGGCCATAGTTAGCAGGCAGGAAGTGAAGTTTCGTGAACAAATCCATGGGGTTGGAAATCAATGAACCACAGTTTTCTTTTTGATTCTGCAATTTGAAATGTTTCTCAGCTGAAAAATGAAGATTGTTTTTTTTTTTCTAGTTCTAATGGAATGAATTTATTGTCGGCAACATCTCGAAAGTGTCACTTGAAACATTTTAAAAATAAAAGATAACTATAAATTACAGAAATCCTTTTAGGTTAATAAGCCTGAGGAAATTAAAAGTTAAAAAAATCTTTCTAAAGTGTTTCCTGAGAGAATAAGAAATTTAATCAAATGTATCATAAATTAGATATGCAATAATTATAATTTACCACTACAACAATTGACACTGTTAGCAATCATTACATTCTCAAACTTTTCAGCCATGTTTAGTCTGAATTTTCACTTTTAGCTATCTTTTTTCTGTTTGTTTGTATTTTTGACGCTGAGTCTCATATATCCCAAGCTGGCCTTGAACTCACTATGGAGTTGAAATTGGTTTTGAACTCATGATCCTTCTGCCTCCACTTCCTTGGTGCTGGAATTACAGGTTCTTCACCACCATGCCTGGCTTTTAACTGTCTTTTACGTGAAGAAATTATATAATGTGATTATATAGACTCTGTGTACTTCAAATGGACATCAATGAGAAGCTAACTTTCTTGGACAGCAGAACTTCCAGGTATGTGAAATTGTCAGGAGATAAAAGATCCTCACAGTCTCACATTACACTGTCTGTCCCAGAGGGTCTCACGGAAAACCTTCTGCCTCCACACCCTGCCTCTTTTCTGTTCACGACCCAGTATGGGCTTCTAACTCTTTATCCCAACAAAGGCTGCTCCTTCAAAATAATTGAAAGCCACAGCCTCTTTTCAGCATTATGTTTCAAACTGTTTGCCCCTGATCTCATTTGAACTCTGGTCACAATGGCTATGCCTATAATCAGACCAAGCGGCTGACCACATCAAAGGCCTTGCAAGTTTCCGAGGTCAGCGTGGACTGTGTCTGCAGATCACTCAGGGAAAAGGGCGGCATATGCATTCCTAAATCTCAGGTACCTTCTCCATAAAATAAAAATAAATGACATTATTACACACACACACACACACACACACACACACACACACACACACACACAAGATTCTGGTCCCATGAGCCCCATGAGTGAAGATGCCAAGTCTGTCAGGGAGCATTAAGAATCCACTTCCAATTGAACATATTTGTCTTCTTTACGTAACCAGTGTCTATCAAGGATTTGCTCTAGTAAATTTTAAGGAGCAAAGCTTCAGGAACTCCTAACTAGTACAGAGAGACGCCTCAACCATTCCTGAAATGTTCTGAGCCACTGGTCAAGTCTCCGTGGCTGTGGAAGTAAGTGGTAGAAGAAATGAAGTCAATTCCCATTTGCACCCTGGGGATAATTAGAACTTTGCTGCATTTTAGGGAGTCAGTGAAAGTAATTTTCCAAAGTAAAAGTTAATATGATTATCATAAGAGCAATGAGTGTGAAATTTTTGAATCAATAAAACCATGTAGCATTTCTTCTCCGTGATTTTATGGTCTGAATGTGCTATACACACGCCACCACCAAAATTCATGTCACAACATGAGCCCAGGGTGATAATGTTAAGAGCCTTTAAGACAGTGATTCCCAAACTTTTTAATGCTGCAACCCTTTAATACAGTTCCT